GCTTTAACTGGTAGCTTCAACTGGTAGCTTTAACTGGTAGCTTCAACTGGTAGCTTCAACTGGTAGCTTTAACTGGTAGCTTTAACTGGTAGCTTCAACTGGTAGCTTTAACTGGTAGCTTCAACTGGTAGCTTTAACTGGTAGCTTCAACTGGTAGCTTTAACTGGTAGCTTTAACTGGTAGCTTCAACTGGTAGCTTTAACTGGTAGCTTCAACTGGTAGCTTTAAACTGGTAGCTTCAACTGGTAGCTTCAACTGGTAGCTTTCACTGGTAGCTTAAACTGGTAACTTAGAATATATATAAACCACCTTCTACTTAATTCAGGGTCGGTTGGAAATCCATGAAAACGTAAATAAAGTGTATCATAGTATTGTTTTATTTGTGTCTTAAGTAGACTTTGGCTTTTATAGCAGTCATAGTAACTGAAAGCGAAAAAAAAGAGCCTTATTTGCGCATGAGGTTGTGACGTCAGCCCGGCAGCTATGAGATGTGTTTAAGCCATTGGTGCTTCTAGCACCCCCCACAGGCCTCAGGGTGAACTACAGCCAGTCCCCGCGGTTCTGTAGAGTCGTGGACCCGTTGGGACCGACTCTGCGGTTCTGCCTGGTGGAATCAAACTCATTTCGTTTGGGGCCAAATCAAGACCCTGGAGGCTCTTAAAGGGCCGGTCCACAAACTGCTAACATATCAATCCTTCAATTTAAATATTATTGAACATCTTTTCAGTCCCTCCAGAATCTCATAATATTGTACTTTCAATGTTTGTACAATAAAAAATCCAAGTGTTTGTGTTATTAATTTGGAAATTTTTGAAGTATTTGCACTTATTTATGACAAGGTTTTATGACATAAAATCTGCCCAACAAAGGCTGAGGCAGCTGTTTAGTACAAGAAAGTTTTTTGAGAAAAATTTGCAATGAATTCCTGATCATGTAAAGTTTGATGATTTTACATCAATTTCCACAGTAATTGTCAATAAACTGGAGGAACTGATTGGTATAAATTAATAAACAGATAAAACCTGCATTGACTTTATTAATAACATAATGTTTCAGCACACTTGAGTTTAGTCCCATGAAAAGCTTTGTTGGGGCTTCAGATGTGACGGATCTGGTCTGAAACCCCCTGCTGGGCTCAAACTAAGTTTATTGTTGTTACTGAAGTCGAGCGAGTCGGGTAAAAAAAATCCACTTGGTGTTTATTGTAAAGCAAATATGAAAAACGTGAGATAAAAATGAAAAAATGAGAAACAAAAGTTGGAGAGAACGTTTTGACTTCAAAATTAAAGTTTTGATAAATATGGCAATTTAATTTTGTTGAATTTTGCTATGAAAATATTTGCTATGTATTTATAATATTTTTGGAACATATTTTTGGGTGGAAATCTGTTTTTATTTCAGAGTTTGTTTAAGTATTAGGTCGTGTTGAGCTGGATTATTAAAATACTGCCACCGTAAATACAGATGAGGCTCATCAGTGAATCCAGCTGGAAACTTTCTGCACAAGAAATCAAAATCTAACAAACTTGTCGGCTGCGGTCCTGATTTTGTTCTGCAGTAAATATGAAGCTGTGGTTCTGACCCGTTCCTCTGGTTCCTGTCTCGTAGATCCGTCGGGTTGGTGGTTCGGCCGGCTGCGGGGCAGAGAGGGGATGTTCCCTGGAAACTACGTGGAGAAGCTCTAGACCTGGGTCGGGGTCAGAGGTCAACCATCAGGAGACACTTGGAGTCAAACACACAATGTTCTGGTCTGTTTCGTGGGCCTGGGTCGGTTCTGATGAGCGGTTCTGTGAAGGAGTCGTTCCATCAATGTTGACATCAGTGTTAGCATCTTGCTCCTCCTTCAGGCCTCAAACGTTTTATCTTCATCACAGTTTTTCTGTCTGATTGAATCATAAATTTAACTGAACCAAGTTCTGGTTCTGGACCGGCTGGTCCAGCATCAATTTACAAACATGTTTAACGATCAGATTTATGGTCTGCTCTGTTTCATCCTTCAGTGTCTGTCTGATTTCAGCCATTAATGGAGGCGGAGGTGGCACTACATTACCCAGAGTTCCAGTTGGAAGGAGTGCTGCCTTCAAGTGCTGCTGGAAATTAGACGTCTGATCAGTCCGTGATTTTTATACAGTCTGAATATTTCATATTAGCGCACATGTTGTAAATTAATCCTTTAAACTCAGAACAGATTTTAGATTAGAATCCGTATTTCTGACCAACAAATTAAATAAAATCTGATAAAAATCTGTCGACTCTGTTTTTGTTTCTCTGAGACTAAAGAAAAGTATTGAACAGAATTTACTGTAGTCCCGGTGCTGCCTGCAGGCGGCGCTGCAGCCTCAGTCAGACTGACTCCTTTTCATTAGTCAGATTGAAGAGTCGTCGGCCTTCATGGCCCCCTGCTGCGACCACAAGAAAACCCAAATGTTTTCTGTTCTGTGGGAAGTTGGGAAGGTTTCTTTTGTCGTTTTCAGGTGTTGGTATATTTGATTCAATCTTTTTCTGTTGTTTAAAATATTTAATGTTTGTAAATTGTCTGTGGCCTGAGATTCTTAGGGAACAGTTGTGCTGTTCGCTGAAGGGAAACTTCAGTGATGAATTTTGTCGTATTCGCTCCTGGTCTCTGGACAAATCTGTTTACGTTTGCCCTCTGACCTTTTGTGTTCTGACCACTTTATATTTTGAACATGTTTTATCTGACAAATATTAATGCGAGGCGACTTCCTGTTCTGAGCAGCTAGGGGTTCTGGTCCAGTAGTTCTCCAGAACGTGTTTCTGTTTTCCGAGCCTGGAGTGAGGCAGTGAAGCCGCCTTGACCTTTCACCCTGTTCTGTGCTAACGGTCGCCTCCTGCAGTGGGGAGTTTACCCGCTCACGTTCCGGTTCGAACCCCCCGCCAGGCGAGCCCGCGGTGCCCGTTAACGGCTGGGTTCGGTCGCTTCAGCAGAACCGGGGCGGTACCGCCTGGAAGCTAACGGCTAACAGATGGAGGAGTTTCTGCGGAGCTGCCGGCGGATCCTACAGGTACCGGAACCGTCCTTCGACCCAGTCCCGCTAAGGTTCGGCCGCGGAGCGGTACCGGGCCGCGCAGCGGTACCGCCGCAGCGCCGCTTTTATTTGATTTACTGAAATAAACCGATAAGCTGGTGTCACTTCCGCCTACACCGATCACTTTCAAAATAAAAGTCCCAGTCATGGTTTAAGAATTAACAACGGGAACCAGAACCGAAAAAAGAATTGGTACCGTTTTCCTGCAGCTGTAATAAGATTCAGAATAATGCATAAAAATTAGGCATTTTTCAGTTTTTGTACGTCATAGAAACGTCATGCAGAGTTTTTCTTTATCTTTTTCTTTATCTTTCTAACATTTCATTCTGGTTTGTTTTTTATACATGTTGCTGTAAGTTCAGTGTTTTTTCTTCTTCTGTGGTTTGCTCTAATAACGATAACTGTCTCTTTCATAAATCACCCATAAATGCAACCAATCACCTGATTGGTCCAGCTCAGCCACACCTGGAGAATTAAAGATGCATTCAGACCAACCCAGGATCAGGATCAGAATCAGTCTGTTTGTCTAGGACAGAGCTGGGCAAGTCCAGGCCTGGAGGGTCTCCTGCAACTTTACTTAACACACCTGAGTCAAATAATGAGGTCATTAGCAGGATTCTGGAGAACGGACTGGATTGGACTGGACTGAGGAGGTGATTCAGCTGATGGACCAGGACTGCCCTCCAGGACCAGGACTGCCCTCCAGGACCAGGACTGCCCTCCCCGGGTCTGAATGCAAGTTTGAATTCCAAAATGGACTCAAAACCGAACTGTCTCGGTCCGGTTCTAGTGGACTCTAAAGCGGTCTGAATGCAACTGACCAGAGACGCTTCAGCAGCAGGAAGTTAGCGACGGTGCAGGGCATTCTGGGTAATATATTGCTCTCAGTTGTCATATCGACAGGTTTGCGTGCCGACACCAAGCAAGGAAAAGCAAATATAAATGATCTGAAGTTGTTTTACATTTGATCAGCTTATTGTCCCGTTGCCATGGCGCTCTGCAGCCGCTGTCATTTTTAACCCTTTAATAAAAACTGAACTAATTACCTGAATGTTTGATCATCATCATCAAACAGGATGGAGCAATTTGCTTAGTTCCTGCATCTTGACAGAAACCAGACCCGGATTTATATTAGATTTATATCTATAAACTGTTTACAGATTTATATCTATAAACTGTTTACAGATTTATATCTATAAACTGTTTACAGATTTATATCTATAAACTGTTTACAGATTTATATCTATAAACTGTTTATATCTATCAGAAATAAAGGCGCTGCCATCGTTCTGTGATTCCTGCTCCAGATGGTTTAGTTTGCTCCATCAACAAACTAATAATGTAGATCAATGAAGAAATCCTAAAATCTGACACCGCTCCGTTTCTTTTTGTGAAGAAGAAAGTGGCTGGTCTTCTTCAGAGGGTTGGAGTCGATTCCTTCAGTAGTTGTAGGTGCAGCGCCCCTACAGGCGACGGGGGGAACAGCTTTTTCACTTAGTTTCAGTGCAGTGTGAATGCGAACTACAGTTCTGAAAAGGTAACAAATGTTGCAACTTTAGTTCCCAATAGAACCGAGTCCACCGGACCATTCGGTCTGAATGCACCCTGAGAAATCACTTCAACGGTCCCACACATCAGAACCAGATCCCAGCCTGGTTCTGGTTGTGACTGCTGTGTCTCGTCTCGGTTCCCAGGACCGGGCCGGGCCCAGACGTCCACGTGGTTCTGGGGAACGAAGCCTGTGATGTTGACTCCATGGTGTCCGCCATGGCCTTTCGCCTACTTCCTGTCTAAGGTGAGGAAGTCGCCCAATCAGCTGCCAGACCTCAGTGTGCCGAGGTCCACCTGTGTGTGTGTGTGTGTGTGTGTGTGTGTGTGTGTGTGTGTGTGTGTGTGTGTGTGTGTGTGTGTGTGTCAGAGAACTGGTGGTCAGACTTGCGCTGGTTCTGCCTGATGAACATCCGGCAGTCAGACTTGGCGCTGCGGTCCGACAGCGTGTTCTTGCTGCGTCGCGCCGCTCTGCCGCAACACCTGCTGCTGTTCCGGGACCAGCTGGACCTGCGGGCGCTGCGGCGCGCCGGCCGCCTGCGGCTCACCCTAGTGGATCACAACGTCCTGCCCAGGTGAGCTGCAGAAGGGTCCCTTGATTCTGCCTGGATACCATGAACTCATCATGACCCCGGCAGGTGCTGCAGCCGCAGGGCCCTGAACGCCTCGCCTCCACAGCTGAGTTCTGATCCTCTTTCTCCTGCAGTTCAGACACTGACCTGGAGGGGGCAGTAGTGGAGGTGCTTGACCACCGTCAGGCTGAGAGGACACCCTCCCCAACCTGTCCCGTTACCGTGGAGATGGTAGGATCCTGTGCTACCTTGGTAACCGAACGCATCATCAAGGAGGCTCCACAGATTCTGGACCAACAGCTCGCCCTCCTACTTTACGGTACATACCTGGACACACACACCTGGACACACACACCTGGATACACACACCTGGATACACACACCTGGATACACACACCTGGATACACACACCTGGACACACACACTGGACACACACACCTGGACACACACACCTGGACACACACACCTGGACACACACACCTGGACACACACCTGGATACACACACCTGGATACACACACCTGGACACACACACCTGGATACACACACCTGGATACACACACCTGGACACACACACCTGGACACACACACCTGGATACACACACCTGGACACACACACCTGGACACACACACCTGGAAACACACACCTGGACACACACACCTGGACACACACACCTGGACACACACACCTGGAAACACACACCTGGACACACACACCTGGACACACACACCTGGACACACACACCTGCCTGACCAGATTCTGAGGGCATATCTGATTAGAAGCTGTTCTGAACCTTGTGTGTGTGAGCAGCCACAGTGGTGCTGGACTGTGTCAACATGGCTGCCGCTGCTGGTAAAGTGACTCCTAAAGACAGCTGCTACGTTGCTGAGCTGGAGGCGCGATTCCCCTCTCTGCCACCAAGGGGCGCTCTGTTCCAGGAGCTGCAGAAGGCCAAGTTGGACGTCTCAGGTGAGCCTCGGTGTTAGCTAGCACTCTCAGTGTTTGCCAGTAGTTAGAGCAGTGTTCTGTCTGCAGGTCTGAACATGGAGCAGATGTTGTTAAAAGACATGAAAACTGTTTCAGGAAGTCTCAACGTCGCCCTTCCTGTTATCTACCTCACTCTGGAGGTAACACCTGAACTGTACACAGAAGTGCATTCATACACAGCAGCAGTACTGTGTGAGTGCCAGCAGGGGGCCCTGTTGCAGCTCTTTCCCTCAGCCTTGTTGTGTTGCAGGAGCTGCTGCAGAGGGCGGAGTTGGAGGCGGAGCTTTCAGCTTTCTGTCACAAGTCAGGATTTGATGTGCTGCTGCTGATGACGATCTCCTTCACTGAGAGCGAGGAGCCAATCAGAGAGCTCGCTGTGTTCAGCCACAGCAGCACCTGCAGGGAGCAGGTATCACATGTTACACACTGGAAGTACCATAGTACTGTCACTATGGAAACCTGGTAGTTGTAGTTCTCCATCAGTAGACTCTGCTGGTTGTGGTTGCCATGCCAACCATGACGCTCTCCTCCAGGTGAGCGCTTACTTGCAGCGGGCCCAGAGCCCCGCCCTCGGCCTCAGCCCCGCCCCCTGCCTCCACCCTCTGATCTCAGCGTTCCATCAAGGTGAGGCCTTCACCTGGCTCTCCGGGGAGGGGCGGAGCTTGAGGTGCGTAACAGTTGTGTGTGGTTGCCAGGTAACGCGCTGGCGTCCAGGAAGAAGCTCCTCCCCCTGGTCCAGGACTTCCTGAAGGAGTGTGATGGCGCCATTTGCCTGGGAGACGCGGAAGAGGAGCCGGCGGTGCCGCCCACGCCCACAAACAGCCTGGTGGACAGCTGCCCTCTGGACGGCGGCCTGCCGCGCATCACCGCCGAGGAGCTGCAGGGCAAGTTCGATGACCTCTAACCTCACCTCTGTTACCACGGCAACGACGCTGGAAAATGGAGATGCAGCATCAGAACACAAAGTACGGTCAAGAATCTTTTCAAACTCGCATCAATCTGGCGGGTCCAACAGAACCTACTGGATCGGCCAAAGAGCAGCGGAGAGACGTTCTGTCCCAACCCTTCAGAATAAAAGCCATTATATCATAAATTAAATAAACTTTTCGAAATTAAAGCCTTTATTTCCTGTTTTTGTAACAAAGGGCCGTAACGACAGGAAGTCGGTGTTCAGAACTCTGTTCACAACAATAAAAGCTTGTCAGGTTGGTTCTTAAGAAAACCTGTCACAGTAAAAGTCTCTAAGATCGGTTCCTTCACAATAAAAGCCTGCCACAGGTTAGAAGTTCTAAAGCAGTATGTGGGTGGTTCTGTTTGACCTTTGACCTGAGGAGAACCTTGGTTGTAGTTTTGGCCCGTCTCAGAGAAACGTCTTATTGGATCAGAGTTTTTCTGCAGCTCCAGATCTGCACTCTGATTGGCCGATTTGGATTGAATAGATGACCCGGTTCACCACCAGAACCGCCAATCAGATCTGGATCTTTCTGGGTTCTGTGGAGAAACTTTGTGTCTCAGTGAAAGCTACTTCCTGTTCCTGTCTGGAAACGCAGCACGTTTCACAATGAGGCAGAGAGGAGGCTTTTATTATGAAACACAAAGAGGAAGTGACCTCTTTCGCTTCAGTGACAGGTTTCCATCTGCAGCTCAACCTGTAAGCTCTGTTTCACCTACAGACCCAGGTCCAAACGGTCGGCCCCAGTCCACCTGATCCAGCCTCAGAACCTCACCAGACCCAACCTTCGTGGCTCAGAACCAGAACCAACCAGGACTGCAGCAGAATGTTCTCACCGGATCCGGCTGAGCTGCAGCAGAGACCAGAACATGTGCTGGTTCTGAACGTCCGGTCTTGACGTTCTGGACCGGACGTTTCGATCTGGAATCCAACCAGAACACAAAATCTGAACCGACAGGCTTTTGGACCCTGCAGCTCCTCCTTCTGATTGGTTAATGAAGCTGCAGCTGACGCCCCGCCCCACCTGTCTGCAGCGACCAGGTGAGCCTGGACCAATCAGAGAGCGGCTCTGCCCTGCTATGCAGTCGGACCTGCTGGGCGAGTCAGACAGGAGAGAGAGAAGGAGGAACACACACACACACACACACACACACACACACCGGCGGCCGGTCATACATGCAGAGCAGACACCCCGTGACATCACTGTGACATCATGAACTCCCCTGCTGGGCAGATGGACGGGACCACCAAGGACAGGTGAGCCCGGTTCTGACCAGCAGAACCTCAGAGAGAGAGAGTGTGTGTGTGTGTGTGTGTGTGTGTGTGTGTGTGTGTGTGTGTGTGTGTGTGTGTGTGTGTGTGTGTGTGTGTGTGTGTGTGTGTGTGTGCTTCCTGTTCCTGCTCACAGAGGAAGTTGGTTCTTCCCGTCTGGCATGGAAGGCTTCACTGCCTTGGTTCTGATCCAGTTCTGGTCCTCAGCAGAAGAACCGGGTCTGTGTGGATTATGTCACTGTTTGGAAAGTCAGCACCTGATTGGTTCAGGTCCGGTTTATACTGCAAGCAGAACAGTGGTTCTGGACCTGCCGCTCTGATCCGGGTCAGAGCGGTGCTGGGTCACTGGTTCCTTGACTCCAGAACCTGCAGAATCTTTCAAATCCAGTGAAATCCTCCAGAAATTCCTGACGGTCCAGAGCGTCCCGTGGGACACCTGGACGTCCACCTGTCCACTAACTCTAGTTGTCATTGACTGTCTCGGATGTTAAGCGTTAAGCCCCGCCCCCTTAACACATGTGGGTTTTTCCCAGCCGGACCCTGAAGGCAGCGCGACAGAAACATGAAGCAGGCTCTCACCTGGCTGGGCCTCAGTGTGTGTCAGGAACAATAGGCCCCGCCCTCCTCACCTGCTCAGGTGTGTCAGTCTGAGCCATCGGGCCGGTTCCTGCTGAGCCAGAGAAGCTTCTCATCTGGAGAACGGGACCGGGTCGGTTGCACGGAACCATAGGAGTGAGTCTTGGTACCGGTGGTCCTGTGGACCGCATGTGGGTCACCCTGTTCCTCTGGGGACAAATGTCCTTGATGGAAGCTGGATCTGATCGGGTCGGGTCCAGTCAGTCACAGAGTTGGTTTACTGGGTCCGGTCCGTCCGGTCGGCTTAGGTCCAGTTACTCAGATGTTGTTTTCTTCCTGGTTTTATGTCTTTGGTTTTCTGTGGTTCTGGTTCTGAACATGTTGACCCAGTTATCCAATCAGAAAAGGGACTCTGTGACTGGATTGTTTCTTAGGAAATGGACCAACCAGAGAGCATTCTCGGTGACATCATCAGCTGCGCGCTAACTGTGTGTGTTCGGCCCCTGCAGTGCGGCTGAGGAAACCCTGCGGCCCGGCAGCAACCAGGACCTGGAGCTGAGGGACGAGTGGCTGGACGACGGCTTCCCCAGGTAAGCCCCGCCTCCAGCAGAACCAGAACCGGCCCGCTTACTCAGCTTCAGGTCAGATGATGGCCACAAGCTGAGCAAGCATGTGGTGACAGTGGGCAGGAAGAACCTTGCAGCAGAACCAGAATTAAAAACGGTTCTGATCAGCATTATTACATCAAACCCTCTAGAACCTTCACTGGTTTTACTGGACTGGGTTCTGCTGCTGTTCTGTCATGACCCGGTGGTTCTGTTCTGACCCGGTCTTCAGGCCACTCCCGGAGGATGCTGAGGGTCCAGCAGGAGGCGCTGCTGATTCAGGTGAGTCTGGTTCTGGTCCAAACGGATGCCCTCGATCCATTGAACCGAAGCCCGATCCCCACCTCTCTTTAGCCCCGCCCACCAGCCAGACTCAGTCGGGCGGGGCCAGGGCCAGGAAGCGGCTGACGGCGCCCGCCCTCAGCGACCCGAGCAGCGACAGCTTCTCGGCAGCGGCATTATCCGGGACCGGACGACTCGCCGTCGCTGGACATCAACCTGGAGGCGCTGGAGACGCCGTCCGGCAGCGAGTCAGGGACGCTGCCGGACGGCGTGCACGACTTGGAGTGGGAAGGTGAGGCGGCGGGGAGGCGGAGCTGCTGACTGCTCAGACGCTGACTGCTGACCTCTTCCTGACAGACGACCTGCCTGAGATGGGGAGGGGCCGGTCCGTGGGCGTGGCGGAGCCCAGTGAGGGTCTGATGGAGCTGGACCAGGTGGACCAACATGGCCGCCGGTGGAGGCGGTTCTCCATATCTGGACAAGAGTACCAGGTCAACATGAGCGTCCTGGAGCCTTACCTGCAGGTCTTGTCACATGGAGGTCAGAGGTCACACATACACCTGCAACTCACCTGCAGTACATCAAACACAGTAACTCACCTGCAGCATCTGAAACACAGGAACAGCTGCAACACCTGGAACCACCATAGAACACACCTGTAGCATCAGATCAATATCTGTGTTCACCATGACAACAAAGTGAAATTACCTGTCCTCTGCAGGTTACTATGGAGACGGGATGAACGCCATAATTCTGTTCACTTCCTGTTACCTGCCAGAGAACACAGTGGAGGACTATGAGTATGTTATGGAGAACCTGTTCAGGTGTGTTTGGGTGTGGAGTCAGTGCAGCGCGTGACAGAAGCCCACCTGGACAGACAGGTGACCCGGCTCTCGTTCTCCTGCAGGTACATCGTGGGAACACTGGACCTGATGGTTTCAGAGAAACTACCTGCTGGTCTACCTGTGCGCCATGGCTCCCAGGAACAAGCTGCCAGCCGTCAAGTGGCTCCATCAGTGCTACACTTCCATTGACAGGAGGTAGGATGGATTCCTCCGGCAGGGCGGTGCGGGCGGGTGGAGCTAGCTGCTCAGCAGGTGTTTCTGTGCAGGTTGAAGAAGGACCTGAAGGGCCTCCTGGTGGTGCATCCGGCCTGGTACATCAAGGCTCTGATCACACTGGTCAAGCCCTTCATCAGGTCTGCAGCGCACACACTGGTCCCACACACACAGACTGGTCCCACACACACACTGGTCCCACACACACAAACACATTGGTCCAAACACACACTGGTCCCACACACACAGACTGGTCCCACACACACTGGTCCACACACACACACACAGACTGGTCTAAACACACACTGGTCCACACACACACACTGGTCCCACATCCACTGGTCCAAACACACACTGGTCCCACACACACATTGTTCCCACACACATACTGGTCCAAACACAGTGGTCCACACACACACACACTGGTCCCACATCCACTGGTCCAAACACACACTGGTCCCACACACATTGTTCCCACACACATACTGGTCCAAACACAGACTCGCAATAAATAAGGCCAATATCTGATGAGCCAAAACGTGTCTCTTTCCATCTTGGCATCATGATCAGAGAACTTATTATGACCTCTGACCTCACCTGTTTTCCACAGTGACAAATTTAGCAGGAAGATTCGATTCATTCAGAACCTGGAGCAGCTGTCGCAGTTCATCCCCACAGACAGGCTGCAAATCCCAGAGGCAATCCGACAGTAAGAGCTGAAACATTCCTGAGCTAACACTGATCTATCGCTGAGCATTAGCTAATGCTGAGCTAACACTGAGCTATCGATGAGCATTAGCTAACGCTGAGCTAACGATGAGCTATCGATGAGCATTTGCTAACGCTGAGCTATCGATGAGCATTAGCTAACGATGAGCTATTGATGAGCTAACGCTGAGCTTTCGATGAGCATTAGCTAACGATGAGCTATTGATGAGCTAACGCTGAGCTATCGATGAGCATTAGCTAACGATGAGCTATTGATGAGCTAACGCTGAGCTATCGATGAGCATTAGCTAACGATGAGCTATTGATGAGCTAACGCTGAGCTATCGATGAGCATTAGCTAACGATGAGCTATTGATGAGCTAACGCTGAGCTATCGATGAGCATTAGCTAACGATGAGCTATTGATGAGCTAACGCTGAGCTATCGATGAGCATTAGCTAACGATGAGCTATTGATGAGCTAACGCTGAGCTATCGATGAGCATTAGCTAACGATGAGCTATTGATGAGCTAACGCTGAGCTATCGATGAGCATTAGCTAACGATGAGCTATTGATGAGCTAACGCTGAGCTATCGATGAGCATTAGCTAACGATGAGCTATTGATGAGCTAACGCTGAGCTATCGATGAGCATTAGCTAACG